GTGGCATTCACGTAAAGGAAGGTTGCCACTACTCCTCTTCCATTCTCTGTCTGCAGTTCTCTGTTCAGATCCCCAAAACTAGCTCCAAAATGTTCTAGGAAACTGCAGAATAGCTTTCCAGAGGCACAGGGGGATCTTTAAATCAGAGTGAGGCTGAATCAAAGCATTTCCCTTCACATTATGAACTTGTTTTATCCAATTCTAACTACTGGTTTGGGCAAGCCCCCTTCACCTGTATGGAGCATCTCTAGGAAAAAATACCAATGGGTTTTGCTCTGAATAATGACTGCAATTTTCTGAGTCAGCTTTATTTTTTGTATGCTGAAGCAGAAGGGAAAGAAAAGGAGTTGCGCCTACCTCACATCTTCCCCTTAGCCTGCAGCAGTAACATCAAGTTTTGTATTAAAGATCACAGGCTTGATCAGTTTGGGAATTACTGTTCTTCCTTGGCCAGGCAAAATTAATAAACTATCCCTAGATTACCCTGCCTCCCTATCTGACACCTATCTTTTAGTGCCTAAGTGGTATTTGGATTGCATTCCACCAGAAAAGGTACCACAGTTTAGAAATGCACACTGAAACTGAACTTTTTTCGTTCTTTCAACCATAAAGCATTAGCTTAAGGGAAGATTTTATAGTCATGCTCTAAAGAAGAGCCAAAGTAGGAAGATGTAACTTAGAAATATTTCTTCTTATTATCTCCCCGCCCCCCCCCTTTCTTCCACAATAATCCCACACAGTTCTAACACAGGAATTATTTATTTAACTACTCCTGAACCTTGGCACACTTCTTATACAGACCATGAGGGAAATACAGAGGAAAATGCTGAAGGTTCCTTTGGTGTTTCTACTATGTGCCAAAGAGGCAACCCGCTTTAGAGTATAAACAGTAAAAGTTTAAATGGAAAAGCAGCTTGCCTCTTCAGCAGTGCAAACCTGAAAGAGCAAACAAAACTACCCCCCTTTCCTGTTTCTCCAAAACAAAGATAGCTGTGTGGTCAATCTCTCCCCCCCTGCAAGTTTATTGGGTTGCAGCTGCAGAGGACAGGTGAAAATTTCATCTAGAAGACTTTTAAAAGTATCATGAGACACTGTAGATATTAAAGTAAGAAAAACAACAACAACCGTGATTCACAAAGGACAACCAAACCAGTACAACAGACCTCAGTACAACATTTAAGGACTGAAGCTCTCAGAAATGCATACGATACATTTGCAACTGCCCGGCATTCAATTTAAAACATCCACAACAACATAGGAGAAGTATTATAGTAAGCTTCCTTGGACATCCACATTCTAGTGCAATACTATAGGAACAGGGCTTGTATTGCACATTAGATGTTGCTAGTGCCCAACATCATTAATCATCATCAGGGTCCCTTTCCCCTTATTGATCAACCCTATCACCCAACTAATCTCTATAACCCCAAACCATTAAAGTGTGCTTAAGACTTCCAAAGCAGATAAAGAGAAAAACTATGCTTCCACCAGGAAAGAAATTCTCAGCCAATTCATACAATATTACTTTCATTTCTACATATGTAATTTTGCTATAGTATTGTGTTGTAATTTCTGTATCTATCAAAAAGGTCTGTCTCCCTCCTTTAACTTGTGCTTTAGTTCACCATCAATGACAAACTCTACCAACAAGCATGGATTGCCCCAATGTTGTATGAGTCTGCAAAAGTTACTAGCCAACAAAATTTTGATTGCCTGTGTATACATTAGGTGTCAGACCTATCCTTACTGGTCACCTTTTGCCAGTAAGAGTGGCTATACACAAATATGGGTTGCTCATGTTTATTTTAATAATGGAAATAAATATCCTGTCAATCATGGATGATGGGATACAAAATAATGCAAACTGTATGCACAACTGGATATTCAGAGGTTCTATCAGTATTGCTTCATGATGAATACCTTAGTTGCCCATGGTCCAAGATCTGGCCTGTGGAAATCAATTGCGACATATTTACTACAGGTTGAGTATCCCTTTTCTAAAATTCCAAAATACTCGAGAATCCAAAATTGTCCACATGGGTGGCTGAGATGGTGACAGCTCTGTTTGTTGATGGTTCAGTGTATGCAAAGTTGGTTTCATTCACAAAATTATTAAAAAAATATGTACAAAAGCTTTGTGCATAAGGTTTATATGAAACATTAATGAATTTTATGTTTAGACTTGGCTCCCATCTCCAAGGTATCTCATTATGTATATGCAAATACTCCAAAATCCAAAAAAGTCCAAAATCCAAAACATTTCTGCTACCAAGTATTTCAGATAAGGGAGACTCAATCTGTACTAATTTAAATATATATTTTAAAATTCTGTGAACCTTCTTGTTTTGAGAACTGTGGTTTTTGTGCGAGCTGAAAAGTGGAAAGTTACCTTAACAGCATTATAATTTCCAGCCTCTCTTCTAAGAAAGTGGAGAATCAGCTGAAATTCATCGTTGAAGTTGCCAGGTATTGTTTCTAGTTGGCAGTACTGGCTGGTGGCTTCTATGTGGAGCAGCCAGTCTTTTCTGAGTTTTAGACCAAACTTTAAAGAAGCCATCCTACCTCCCCAGACAGGTTCATCACCTTGGATATCTCCTTAATGTTCACATTAAACCTCACAGCAGAGTCAGCATTCCCCTGACATGATAGCCACCAATGGTCTTCATGTGTTGGACTCCTAAATTCTGGCTCTTCAGTTGATTTTTTAATTCCATCCTTCCAGAAAGATTCAGGTGGCAGTGAAATCCCTGACACTTCAGTTCAAGACCAAAGACCTGGCAACACTGTTCATAGCAGATGTGGCCAGACTGGTGTTTCGGATTCAGTTGCTCCAAAGTTGACTTCTTATCTCAAATGGCTAAGAGTTGCCATAACTACATTTGCATGATTCAAAGAAGCTATTTCGGGTCGATAACTGGAGAGCTACTGAACTTCCCTACTACTCCATCACAAACAGGAATTCTTTCAGAGGCGTCTCAAGCTTTTCATATCTTTTTCTTTCATATGCAAAGGGATCTTGCAGCACCTTTGAGACTAACTAAAAGATAGAAGTTGGTAGCATGAGCTTTCATAGACTTGATCCTACTTCCTCAGAAGGAGACTCTCAATGTCTTTCAGTTAGTCTCAAAGGTGCTGCAAGACTGAGACTTTCAGTTAGTCTCAAGGGTGCTACAAGATCCTTTTGCCTACTGATTTTCCAGAGTAACACAGCTATATCTTTGAATTTTTGTCCCACAGTTTATCATATAGTGAGAGCCTGTCCATGCAGCTGTTGTTGACTTTGACTTATGGTGACTCTATGAATGAGAGACCTCCAACATGCCCATTATCAACTGCCCTGCTCAGATCCTGCAAACTCAGGAGCATGGCTTCCTTGGCTGAGTCCATCAACCAGCTCATGGGGCCCTACTAGAAACCTAGTATTTTATATTAGTTGGATTGCCACCTTAAAACAAACAAACAACAGCCCTGCACTTTTGCCAGTTGCAAAAATATAAGAGGTGAAGCTTTCTGTATTGCCATGGAAATACTATGATAATATATGACTAATCTATTAAAGCATCAGAGCACTTTCCTGTGCAAAAGCAGTAGTCATTTAGAGAAGAAGAAGCCAACCATAACAGCAAGTGTTACAGAGAAAAAGAGATGCTTTCTTCCACAAATGTCTCTCCCTTCTGTGTCAGATCTATTCCAAGCAGACACAAGAGTCACAACCATGATTTGTCCTCAAGAGTGACATCTGCTCTAAGCAAGCCATGGTCAGGGCAACTTCCTCACCTATCCAGCCTCTCTGCCTGCAAAGAGATAAGCTGGTCTTGCTGATGTCTTCCTATGTTAAGTTGCCAAGTATCATGGCTTCGGCATACAAGCTAAACCAGTGTTTCCATGTAGATTTGTGACTGTAACCAGGGTTAAAGCAAACAACCATTGTTAGCACTTATCTTGACTAAATGTTAACATCTACACTGAGCAAAGATAACATCAACCAGTAAGGCTAAAGTATCCTGTGGGAATGTACTTCTGATCCTTAACTTGTCTTTAAACAAAGCAGTCATCAGGTCTCTCTCTTTCATGTTCAGGACAATGATAAGATGGGTTTCTCAGGAAGATCAGGCCCTTTCTAGTTCTCTGTACCCCACTGTCAGGGCAGTGGGACATTTTGGCATTTTGCTGAGCGCATCCCAAAACATGGGCAGATACAAAGTGTACAGCTTGATAAAAGGTTATTTTTTGGGATGACAGTTTCCAGAATCCTTAAATCGGCATGGCCAATGGTTACACTGACAAAGTGATTCTGGCAACTGCTACTCAAAGAAGTAACTTTTCAAAGGTCTTACAAAGTTATCATCTTATAAGGATGTGTCCGTATATAGACCTAGTTCTGGTTGCAATGGGTAACCATGTGTCAGACTAGTAGTGTAGGGCACTGATGCCAAGACAGACCCCCAGCCCCAGAAACTTGGAGGGCTGCAATCCACCCCACCAAAAATAAAAATAAAAATTCAGGAGACAAGGGGAGCATTTCTGCCATGTTTACAGGGCTTCCCGAGCCATTTAGGCCCAAGAGAGGACTTTTATTACAACAGAAAATGAGGGAAAGTCACTTCCTGTTTCAAAGAAGGGTTTTCCTGGCCCTAAATTGGTGCAGGATACCCTCAAAACATGGTGGAAGTATCTCCCTCATCCCCAAGATGGAACCTTGGAGTAAAAATAATGTTTTGAACCATGGAAGCCATAAAACAGCCTGGGGGGGGGGCACATGCAGCCCATGGGCTACACTTTGCCAGCCCCTGCTCTACATCAACACTACATGGAAATCCATAAGTGGAGATGGCTGTGGTTGTTGTTGTGTGCCTTCAAGTCGTTTCCAACTTATGGTGACCTTAAGGCAAAACTATTGTGGGGTTTTCTTGGCAAGATTTGTTCAGAGGAAGTTTGCCATTGTCTTCCCCTGAGGCTGAGAGAGTGTAGCTTGTCCAAGGTCAGCCACTGGGCTTCATGGCCAAGTAGGGAATCAAACCCTGGTTTCCAGAGTCATAGTCCAACACTCAAACCACTATGCCACAATGGCTCCCTTGGTCTAAAACAATTTACAACTGTTTTCATCTCGCCAGGGGCAGTGGTAAAACCACTCCCTCACTCAATACTTTGGATTACAACAGGGATAGCTCATTAATTGCTGAGAAAACCCATGTTCCCTCCAGTTAATGTGGGGATTGCACCTAAACTATGAGGGAACAGGGGAGTCCAAGGAAAATGACAGATGCTATTACTGTTCCTGCTAATAAACAAGTCTGGCTGTCAAGGTGGACTGCTTTTCCAAACAAAGCCAACTGAACACTCTGTGCACAGAAACACTGGATATAAAAAAGGAAGATGCTTAGAACAGGGATGGAAAGAATATTAAAAAATGGTTAAACCCATGTTTCTATAATGGCAGGAAACCTTGATGCGAAAACCCCCAGACTGATGGGATTTTCTGCTATTTCTCTGCAATTCAGGATTTACTCTTTGTGTAAACATTGTACATTTTCTGTGTGGAAAATGTTTTTTTTTCCTGTGCTGAAAACCATATTTCTTGCACAAAAAATATTCGCTGTGCAAAAAATATTCAATTTTGTGCAGAACAGGTCCCAACTACAGCATTTCCTGTGTAGGAAATAAAATAAAATGTGTACATTTTGCACATAATAAATCCTGAACTGGAAATAATCTTTAAAAACTGTGCAGCGGGAAGAAAACTGCTATAATTCCTCATTGCTTCTTTTGAGAAGGTTAGTAAAGATTTACAACTTTCTTTCTTCTGAAATCTGATTTTATACATTAAGGGAACATCTTTTTAAATAGAGAAACCTTTGATCCTGTGGCATACACCCCATCTTCACAGCATGAAGTGATACAGCTGATACAGATCTTTATCACTACATATATTTCCATGGCCAAAATTGTGGTTTCTCTGACACAGCCAAAGACAAGAATGGGAAACGGCACTCTTGGGTTATCCCAGCAACATTTTCTCCTAGGAATTCTTGTGCCAGAATGATGACACAAGCTATTTGTACTAGACAGGGTGACCAGAAATCCTCCTTTTCCAGGACATGCCCTACATTTCAGCCTTCAGTCCAAGAATTCCAAAATATCCTCCATTTGGAGCAGGACTAAGAAGTATTTTTACAATTTACATTTTAATGAGTTTTTTGAGCTTTTATTTGGCCATGCCCTCAATTTTTCTTGAATATCCTACATTTTGCAGTGACTTGTCCTCCTTTGCGCTGAGGACATCTGGTCATCCTGGTACTAGTGACAGTAGTGGCATCACTAGCAGGGTGCAAGGGGTGTGGAATGCACTGGGTGACACCATCAGAGAGGCAGCGATGAGACATCCCAAAGCCCCTCTTCCAGAAAGGGAGAGCTTTTCTAGGTGTCCCATTCCCATTGTCAGGGTGGGTAGGTTTGAGAACAGGGATAAAAACACAGACCTTTCGCTCTGATCTCACTCTTGCATCCTCCCCTTCCTGATCTGGTTGGTTTCCTTTCCACCACTGTCCTCTGGGGAAGGCTGTTTGCAGTAATCTCTTTCCTTAAGGGTGAAGATCTTTCATAATTAAAGCACTGTTCTTCTTCAGGGGAAATCCCATCTTTGCTTCTTGTCTAGGGGGATGGCATTGGCAGGATGCTGGGTTCCCCCAGTGCAATCCTTTTTCCCATCTGCACCCACATCCCAAGAGGTCCATGGGGGTGACACCATGAGTTACCACACTGGGTGACACCAAAACCACTACTAGGCAGTGAGTAATGGCCTCACAGTAGACCCTATTCAACATGTGAGTCATGCAAGACCAATGTAAGAAATAAGACCTTGGCTAGATAGATAGTGAAGGCCAAATACAAGGAATCAACAAACTAGATAAGCCAGGTCATATCCTATGACATGCTGCAGGATCCTTATACAGGCACGCTTCCCATGCTCTATAGAAATCAATTGCTTTGAGAAATCAAATAACTCTTGCAGGCAATTTAGACTGCAAGAAAACTTCCAAAAATGTCTCAGTGCCAAAGGTCCACCCATTTTTTTTTTAAAAAAGGACTCCCCCCCCAGCTCCAAACCCTGACATCCAAATTACAGCTTGTGAAATGGGTGCAAGCTGCTTGCCAATCTAACAGCAAACCAAAAAGCAAAAATAAGCTCAAATATGAAGATTAACTAATAAAAATAACAACACTAAATTCAATGGGAGAGGGGGCAATTATTCTGAATTGTCCATTGTTAAACAATCTCATCAGATTTTTTTTAAAAAAGCGTTTCCTATGAAAATTATAAAAGAAAGCTGGTTTGCAACCACAATCACGACAATCAATAATTTCATTCATAGATTTCCCACCAGCTCTATCTCCTAACACATGACTGCTACCTGAAAAGCAATCCACAAATAATAATAAAAAAGAAGCATATAACCAGCTTACACCTGGGTTCCTATTGCACTTTGCACGCCCCTTTTGCACCCGTTTCCTCCCCTTTGCTCGAGCTGGAGGAAATGATGGACGCGGCTCCACACCAGCAACCATCTTATCCTTTTGACCCAACCATGGACCCAGCGCATGCTCCATGGACGTGAGCATATGTACAATCTGTGGAGGTTTCCGAGGGAAGAATCATACCGGTTGTTTCATTCGTTTTCCTCTTCCAGCGTGAAAACAAATGTCTGAGGTTACGCTGCAAAGTGGTCTCTCACTTGTTAAAAAAGGGATGAGTAGACGGTGGAGGCATTGAGCAAATGGGGATTACACCCCTCACCGCCATGACCCTGGGTTGTAAACTAATTGTTAAGAGTGTTTTTCTGCCCAGCTTCTTATTTCTCTGGCATTTTACTGGTACCCCCCTTCTTGCTCTGGAGGGGTTTGTTACCTCTCTCTCTCCCATCAGGGTTGCAGTCTATGGTCTGCCACGAACCTGTGGCTTTCTTATGGTTAGTCTTTCCTGCCATACTTTCTTTGCTTTTAGGGGGGGACTCTGGAGGCCTTTCCTTTGGCTTGCGGCCCCGTTTTTTCCCATCTGTGCTTTGTTTTTTTTCTTCACTGCCAGGAAGGGCATGTTCCCCACTTTTCTTCTTCTTCTGGATGGCCTCTGTAGATGTTCGGAACCAGTTCTGTGTTTCGAAGAGGAAAAGGGGGCACAGACAGTATCTCAATTAGCACATGGGGTGAACACAAATATAAATCTGTTGCAAAGTAGATGGGGGGGGGGGGAAAGGCCCAACTTCAACAACAATGGGATTTGTTTTAAATGGTCTTAATTCTTTACAGATAGATTAACAATACTTTTTTGCACGTTTTTCCTTATGTGTTTGTACAGTATATGCTTTTACATGCAATTGTATTTATATGCATCATGTGTTTTAATTTAATGTGTTTAAATGGTTTTATGTGTTGCAATCTATGTTGTACCCCACCTTGAGCCTTTAGGAGAGGCAGGTAAGAAATAAAATGGATGATGATGATGATGATGATGATGATGATGATTAAAAGGGCCTCTCCTGAGCTAGACTGAGGAGGGATTAAAACGTGATGGCAATGCCCCCAATCCCTAGTGGGCATTTGGAGTAAAAAAAACTCTTTAGGGGCAAGGTCTCCTGGCAGCCCACTATCCTCCCAGCCCTGGCTTAAAAGAACAGTGTTAAAGGTTGGGGACATAAATCCTGCCAGCTAATTTCCAATTAACATTGGCAGAGGAAAGCACCCCCAATGTCCCCCACCAACAAAACCCACCACTTACCTCTGAGTGAGTCTTAATTATATGGTATTTGACTCCGCTTTCTGAACTAAACTCCTTCTGACACAGAAGACAACGATACTTCCCCACAGAGTGGTCTCCCTGCAAAGCAAATGCCATCTGTGTGAATTCCCTTTTCCTATCGAAACCCACATTCTGGATATTATGAAATCTCTTGGAGCTTATAATGTTGGCCTTAGAACATGGCCAACATTATAGCCTATAATGGCCCTTTGGACTGCAGTTGGGGGAAAACATATGATTTCAGGTTCCTTCACCCATCCATCCATCCATGAACACCCCCTCAGTGCAATGTAAATACCCACATGGGAATATACAATCCTGATGTAGAAGAGCAACACTGACACATGTCAAGGACTGGTTGCCACTGTGCAATGTGCAACCACAATGTGTACCTGCAATGTGAGTGCATAAACACAATGTTGCAACACTGCAGTATGTACAACTCTACCACTTTAGTAGAATATGTTGTGCTAAGGTAAATGATTTGATCCACGTGTATAGCTTGACTTATGTATGCTTATGTCACTAGCAGAAAGCCAACATCTGTGTGTGCTTGTGTGTGTGTGAGGGCAGTACTTTTCTTGCACACAGAAAACTAGGATCTCTTTCCCCCTACACATTTATAGCACTTCAATTGTCATGGCTCCATCCCATGGAATCCAGGAATTTCTAGTTTTCTAAGATATTTAGCATTTTCTGCTAGATGCCTCCAGTTTTTTACTCAATCTACAAATCCCAGGATTGCACAGGATGCAGCCCTGGGGGTTCAAGTGGTATCAAATGGCTATTAATTGTGGAATGTGAAAGGGATTTATGTGTCAGAGACAAAAGTTATAGCCAGGCCTTCTCTCTATCACACTAGTTTTCTAACAGCAGAGAGTTTTGGTTACCATGTGGGAAAGTGCCGAAATGCCAAGGCACGTAAGGCTAAGATACTAAAAGTTCTGGAAGATCTCCATCATAGGATCTGCTGCTCATGTATATAGGTTTGTTGTTGTTGTTGTGTGTCTTCAATTCATGTCCAACCTATAGCAACCCTAAGATGACCTTATCATGGGGTTTTCTTGGTAAGATTTGTTCAGAGGGGGTTTGCCTTTGCCTTCCTCTGAGGCTGAGAAAGAGTGACTTGTCCAAGGTCACTCAGTGGCTGAGCGGGGATGCGAACTTTAGGGTCACCATAAGTTGCAAACGACTTGAAGGCACATAACAACACCTAATGCAAAAACATGGAGGCTTCTCTTGACAGATTTAATGTTCTCTGACTAACAAAGGGGTTT